AGAAGCAGCTGCTGCATGGTGAAGATTTGCCTGGAGGACCCTCGTCTTACCCTTAGAGTTAGTCATATATAAACGTGGGGGGCAGGGGTCGTTTTCGCCAGCTTAGGACTCGTTATACCTATTGGTCTAGTGTTCTCACCTCGTTTCCCCTTACCCCTGGCCACGGACCGAGGCGAAATCTGCAGCTTGGGTCACAGTCACTCTCGCTGATGACGTTCCAGTCTCATCCCTTAAGGTGGAGGGCTGGGGGATAGAAGTTAGCGCGGTTTAGGTTCCATTGCTGCATCAGAGCCTCCCCTGACCTTAAAAGTTATCACTTTAAAGCTAAGGACGACTCTGCCGCCACCCGCCCGGAGGGTTTCCGCCGATGGGTCGTTGAGAGGTAAAAAAAGGTAACTAGGTACCCATTCTCCTCGTCCCTACGGTGGAGTATTTTCCAGAGCTCGGTATGGTGTCCTTCATTTTGTGCCCTCAACAACACAGCCGCTTCCTTTGGAGAGTCAACTTCGCTGCGGGGTAGAAAGGTGATGCCCAGTTGGGGCTTGGGCAGTTCGTTCTCGGGTATTATCGAGAACTCTGCCTCCGGCCAGGGTTTCAGTTTGATGGGATAGTTTTCGACATGACCGGAGATAGATCAGGCACAAGACCATAGGATTCACGTGCTTTTTAAGACACGTGAGTGAAGAAACACCGCCAAATTCCGAACTCAGGGCTGCTACTGAAAATTTATTGACACAAAACCCATTAAGTCGTTATTACTCTACCCGAGACCTCATAATCAGTAACTGCGTACAGGTCCGCTGGACTACCGAGGCAGTCAAAGCCACATAAACAGGTAAATAGGTCCTATATCTATATCAATCAACATAAAATTCATATCTCGCTACAAAAGTTATTTGTGAATACAAAACTTATTATTTGTGATGAAAAAGGTCTATAATACATTATTTCCTCAACAAGTTTAATATAACTCACTCAGGGATATGGCTTGTTAACTCATCCAGAGATATAACTTATTTCAACCGTTAACTCAAGTAACTTACCTCTTCTACCGTACTTAATATTACAGAACACGTACGTTCCCGTCGTTATTTCGATCACGGAATAAATCTTTCTTTTATTTATTTCATGCAGCGTTACCCCGTTTGTTTCTTATTGAGATTCTAAAAGTTTGTATTCCGCTATGTTTTCTCTCTTAGTATTTTATTATCAAGCACTTCATTACTTTTATCTTTGGCTCTTTAATAGTCATAAAATGCGGTAGTTTTAGTTCTTTCCTACGGTATATTTTCCTCCTTGACTCTATTTCGTGATGTTTGCGCTGTTAGCCTATACGGCTCTTACAGCTTTATCTGAAACAGGGCTCGTGGCCTGAAAGTGGCGAGCTATTTAAAAAAAATTGTTACGATAAGACAGTGCAATTTATCATCTAAGGCTGCATCACCACTTATCACCAGGTGGGATTGTGGGAAAGCACTGGCTTATAATAAGTAAAAAAAATGGAAAGACGGCAATAAGGATGGGGATGAGGATGATGGTTTATGAATTGGTGTAATTATCAATCATCATGTCCCCTCTGTTGGGGTTATTTTTGAGCTATCTAACCACTATCCTTGTTGCGGTGTGAACCGCCTAGATACGCGAGTGTACGGTATTTACGCAGTGTGTGCAGAGCGTCGTGCCCGTAGGCATCGAAAAAGTTTCGAAGAACGGGTTCTCTCCACTCCATAGTGAAAAGAGCAATTTGTAAGAAAGACTCGGATGATGCGTACGAGCTTGTCAGGCACATTTAGTTTATACAGCTTGCAGAGCAAGCCGTAGTGCCAGACCTTATGAAATGTATTTGCGACATCAAAGGAGAGGGCTTTGTTTTTTTATATGACGGGTGGTGATTAAAGCCAGAGAGAATATATTATGTTAAGCAATGGATTTGGATTGCGCATGCTCTAAATTCAAAATTTTCGTCAAGGAGGGTCTATCTATTTCAGTGAAGTGACAGAGGCGCTTTAGAATGATGCGCTCGTATAATTTGCCCAATGTGTTGAGTAGACTGATGGGCCTGTAGCTAGCGCTATTTTCCCGGTTTTGTGATCCCTATTACGTCTGATTCTTTCCAGATATCCGGGAAAGAGGAGCTCCAGAGAAGCGCATTGAAAATTCGTACGAGGAGGTATTTAGTGGTACCGGAAGAGATTCGATCAGCTTGTTTCCGTCTGGCCGAGGGGATGATCTATTTTTAAGGCTTTTTATGGTTTCAGTGACTTCATCGAAAGTCACAGGATTGAGTGGATCGCCCGCTGGCGGCAATGCAGACCTACGTTCGACTTCCACTTCTACATCTTGTAAGTGAGCAGGATCTGTTGGTACGCTGGATGGGGTACACTGGCTCTCTAGACTGTCGGCTAGGCATTCGGGTTTTTCGAGATTGTCGAAAGTGAGATCGGGGTGGTCTAGCCTCACGAGAGGCGGCATGGAAGCAGTTTGCTCTGCTTTCAGAGCCCTAGTCAGCCTCCAAAAGGCGTTTTAGAATGGTTCTATTTCTTCTAAGAGGTTATCCCATGTATCGTTTCTAAATTTGGCTATGCGTTGTTTAACCTCATTTTGCAGAGAACATAGGCAAATTTTGTTATCTTCCGTGCGATAACGGTCATAAGATTTTAGTGCAGTGTTTTCGCTCTAATCAGTTGTCGAAGGTCTCGCGTATCGATCACTCGACACACGCACCTTACGGGAGTAGGCTTCGACCGCTGTAGTGAGGTAGGTCAATAGGGCGCTAATCACCCTATTGGCTTCTTCCGGCGAATCAATCTTATCCCGAATGGAGTCTTAATGTTGGAAGTTCGTAGGCTCGAGTTTGACCTCGAGCTTACGTCAGTCGAAGATGGTTTGGTCTGAGGGACATCACCTGCCGACCGACCAGTTCTAATACGAACGGGTTGTGGTCTGAGCATAATTCGACGAAAGTTTCGATCGAGTTAACAGCCGGGATGATGTTGTAAAAGAAAAGGATAGCGATTGGAATCTCAGAAGCGATAACGTCGAAGTTAAGTTTTTCTTAAGTCGAAGTTAAGTGAGGTCGCATAATACGTTTTCGTTTGGATTATTTAGGTTAGATTTCCAACTAACGTCTTTACTGTTTATGTCTCCCGCGATTACTACGCTGGGGCCTAGAAATAGTAGAGCCGAAATGTTGGCTTCTAATATATGTTTTTGTGGTGGCAGATAAGCTGATGTAATTATGACGGGCGGATTGCCCGTAAGTGCTATCCTACAAACCGATGGTTCTAAGTTAGCAAGCGGTGGAGTATCTATCGGCATACAGTGCAAGGACCTTTTGTAGTAGTTCAAGGTGCCACTTTTAGGTCCAGTCAGTCTATCATTTATTATATATACCTTATCTTACTAAGGTATAATTAGCTATTTTGTGTTCGAGCACGCTAGGTTTCAAGAAAATCTCTTGCACTAGCATGATGTCGATATCACGATCGCCTAAAAAGTACACTATTTCTTCCTTTTGATCTCTGATGCCGTTAACGTTAAAGAACGTGACAGTCATAGAGCTAGGTTTGCTTCTTTCGGTAGGTTTTACTGCCATTATGATTTAAAAAGGAGATTGCTTAGGCGCATTGGAATGAACCAATCGCGTTGATAAGATTAATATGCTCAATGGTGGCATTGAGTTTATCTTGAGTGTTTTTGGCCTCGCGAAGTTTGCGGGCTAGAGTAGTGACTTCAACAACATTAATGTTGCAGATGAAGCGGCAGACTAATGAGAAGTCAGCAGCGACGGTAGATTATGCCTGAGAGCGGTTTTGGGCTTTTGAGCCTGGAAAGATGGCGTTGGCTGTGAGGCGGCCACACTTACAATCGCTGGAGTCTTAATCCATGCATTCGTTTTGAGTTCTGAAGGCACCGAAGGGCTAACGCCTTGCCCGGAAGCCCTTTAGCGGGGTTGGGTTTGGTGATAGCCTGTGGGGGCGCAGGTTGCGATACCGAGATCGGTGCGAGTGAAGGGTCAATTTGCCGAGGACGGAACCTGCTAGCGCTAGCCGCTCGTCCGGTCTACTCCTCCGCGCCTTTTCCTGCGCGGCGCTTTGGTGCACCCGCGATAATTCACTGGGTGTCGCGCTTCACCGCACAGAAAGCGGCTCAGAGGGCCATCCAACTCGGGCATTTGGGTGCACTCGTTTGTACGCGTACCGAGGTTGCCTAGACACATAACACATCTAGGCCGAGTGAAACAATTTTTGGTCAACTGGCCATAAAGTTGGCATCGGTGGTATTTACCAATGATACTCCTGTTTCAGGGGGCTTCTACTGCAATCCCCGTAAGATTATAGATTCGGCAGACATTAAATTTTTTTTTGCCTTATGAAGACAGATCCAGGATTACTAGATAAAGGTCTAAGTGTCATTTTTGTCTGTTGGGTGGGGCATTCTGTACGTTTGCCTAACTGGGAGGTTCTGCGATTTAAGATCACTAAGAACGTGTTCGGTTTCGAACTCCTTGGGGAGTCCGCGAACGACAACGTGGAGGTCTCGTTCCTCCGCAGGGGCGTAGATGTGAATGCTCAGTTTCTAAGCTTTCAAATTCGCAGTTAAAGCGCAGAAGTCATCCGTCGTCGAGACGGTGATGCGAATGCCCTGGCCACCGTTGTGGACCTTAGGCCATAAAATATTTTGGAGTCTATCCATTTGAATACGTTGCTTTATCGAAACTAGTCGTGAAGTATAATTTGATGTGATGGCTTTTCTTGAGTAATGATTAATATTATAAGAATTCATATTTTTTTTAAACTTGTCGTTATAAAATTCTGTTCCATTGTCGGCTTGCAGTTTTTTGTGAATTGTGTGTGAATCTGCAAACCGACAATGGATCAGAATTTAATAACGATAAGTTTAAGAAAGTTATGAATTCTTATAATATTAATAATTACTCAACCTTTTCAACAAAGAAGACTTCCATAGTTGAAAGATTTATTCGAACTTTGAAATATTAATTGTATAAAGCATTTAGTTTCCAGGGTGATTATAACTGGATAGGCGATACTCTTAATAATGTTATTTACGAATACAATCACACTTATCATCGAACTATTGGTGAAATTCCAGCCAATGTTAATAATAAAAGTAAAAAACGAATACTACAGAGATACCTTAGGTTGGTAAAAAATGATAATGTAAAACGTAAGTTTAAATTAGGTGATTATGTGCGTATAAGCAAATACAAAGGTACATTCGAAAAAGGATATACTCCAAATTGGTCGACAGAAATATTTAAAATTCGAAAATTACAGAACACAATTCCAACCACTTACTTAATTAAAGATACAATTAGAGGTCAACCAATTTTAGGAGGATTTTATGCGCAAGAGCTACAAAAGACCAAAAATCCAAATATATATTTAGTCGAAAAAGTTTTAAGAAGTAAAGGAAATAAAGTTTTAGTAAAATGGCTAGATTTGTCTTCTAGTGAAAACAGTTGGATCGATAAGTCAAATATATTATAATATACTTACTAACCACTGTGTTTAACATTAAGAACAAATGGTATATTTAATAAATATCCAAAGTTCGATTAAACGGTCTTATGATGTGCATTGGTGAGAGTAGTCTTCGCAATTGGTTGATTAATAATTTACCATTCGAATTACATTTACCGGGATACAATTATTGTGATCCTGGTACAAATGTAATCAAAAAACTATCACGTGGAGTCAAAAGTATAAACAAATTAGACGAATATTGTAAAGGACACGACATTGCGTATCACAAATATTCAAACTTAAAGGATCGGCATAAGGCGGATTTAGTTTTCTTAAAAATGGCAAAAACACGATAGAATACTCCCGATGCAAATTTGGGAGAAAAGTTAGCAGCAAAGATAGTAAGCAAAGCTATGCAATCAAAAATTAAAACTGGGGCTGGCCTAAATAATGGCAATAGTAATAAAATGTCTCCGAGAAAGTTGGGGAATGAATTTAAAAATAAGTTTAAGTATATCATTACAAAAACGAAAAGATGCACGCAAAAATTAAAACCAAAATGCAAGAAAGCAGCAATTGAGCTAGCTATAGCTGCTGCTAGAGAACTAGTTGATAATTCTGTTATAAAACTTCCTCGCATTATACCAAAAACTGGTGGGGTACTACCGTTGATTCCGATTTTTCCGGATTATCGGCTACGGGAGCCTTAGCAGGTGGTGCAGCTGGTAAACTTAAAACTATAAGTGAAATCAAAATGGCTAAAAAACAATTTGCTGAATTGAAAAGACACAATGAAAAAATGGAAGCTCTTTGTATCGGACATGGGTTACAGTTTAAGCCTCATAACAATGGATGTGACATTTTTGTATCTAAATAAATAAAAAACTAGAATATAGGCTACCTAAACGCGCCTTAACTAACATTGTCATTTTAAAGTATGGAAAAAATATTCCCTATTTTCGAGGTGTCTTTATGAGAGATGAGCTCCCAACACACCCTTTTAAAAAGGAATGTGGAGTTATAAATTTAGATATTTCCTGAAATCCGGGAAGCCTATGAAATATAGCCAAATCTCATTGGGTAGCCTATGTAAAATTTAATAATTATGTTGAATATTTCGACAGTTATGGAAATCTTAAACCTCCAATGGAATTGATAAAATATTTAGGTCCTAAAGTCCACTATAATTATGATAACATACAGCGTGATCATCCTTTTAATTGTGGACATCTTTGTTTGATTTTTTTGGATAATTTTTGGTGCAATCAAGACATAAAATAAACAAGAACTTCATAAATTGCTCAGTATACAAGCATGTCTATAACAGTTACTATCTCAGGAAATAAACCAGAATTGGATTCCTACTTTCAACCGCCTCTGAGTTTATCAGGTCATTACGAGTGCGGTTTACTATATTTTTCAGTAACAAACTCAACAACAAATATTCTTATGTTGATAGCAAGTTCCCATCTGTGATCAGAATCGAATGTGATCTCATATACGGCTCATATTGCAACGGGTTACCCACTCATATTATTCACGAATTTGTATCTAAAACTGCTGCAGATAATCAATAGATAGAAATACCTCAGAACGTTATTTACTTCCCAGTGAATAAAAATAATATTACGTCTATAACTATTAAAGTTTTAGATCAATTTGGCTACAGAATTAATTTCAAAGAACGATATATTGAAATTCGCCGCCATTTGAGGAAAGTAAAATGATATTGTACTATAAAAACCCTACAGTCTACTTAAAGCGCCCTATTACTTCTACACTCACTAAGGTGCGAAGACTTGAGAAAAAATTTAAGACCTTGAGTAAAAATAATAAAGATTTTCTAAAGTCCTTGGGATTTAAAGTATGAATATACTACAGATTAATGACTTACCAAACTTCGATACTTCTATTGAAAGTTATGAAGTCCATTCTTATAATCCATATAATAATAGCTTTAGAGAAAACGATGAAATAAGAATTACTATACATCAGCAAGACATATATGTATTACCATCAACCAGTTCAATTTACATCGAAAGTCGTGCAAATCTCTTCAGTAAAGATGGAAACCAGATTAAAAAACCTGTTACGTTTAGTAATAATCCTATTATGTTCTTGTTTCAAGACATAAGGTTCGAGATAAATGGAATCGAAATAGATCGTATTAAAAATGCTGATATAACGTAACAATTAAAGCATACATTTCAATGAATTAAGCAGAAAATAAAGTAGCAGCTTTGTGGGGTTGGGATATGGATGGATTTAAAAGCGAAAACGGTGATTCTAGTGCTACTGTACCTTTAAATAAGATTTTAGGGTTTGCAGAAGATTATGCTAAAATTGTAATAAATTATAAACATGAACTTATACTGAACAGAAGTAATTCTAACACAAATAGTATTATAGGAACTGAAGATGTTGCACATTTTCAAATAGACATACAAAGAATACAATGGCGAGTGCCACATGTGAAAGTATCCGATCGTGAACGACTGAAACTTCTTACACATTTAGAAAGAGATAAACCTATACAGATGGCATTTAGAAATTGGGATTTATATGAATACCCTTTACTTCCTACAGCAACTAAGCATTCCTGGTCTATTAAGACTGCGTCACAATTAGAGAAACCTCGATATGTAATTTTTTTTTTACAAACAAACAGAAAAAATCAAAAAATGAAAGACTGTTCAGTATTTGATCACTGTGGAGTGAGAAATGTGACATTGTTTTTGAAATCACAATTTTACCCATACGAGCCCTTATGTTTAAAGTTTTCCAAAAACAAATTTAATATATTATACGAAATGTATATGAAATTTCGCCAGTCGTACTACAACTGTCCCGCAAACCCATTGCTTGATTTAAGTAGCTTTAAGGAGAAGGCTCCGCTATTTGTGATAGATTGTTCAAGATAAAACGACAGTCTAAAAACGGGACCCGTAGATGTTCGTTTGAAGATTGAATGTACAACGGCAATACCAGAGAAGACAACTGGATATTGTTTAGTCATTAACGATCAACTTGTGGAATATAAGCCTTTAAGTAACATAGTGTGCAAGTTTACATGACTGCTATCGTAGATGTCCAAGCTTTCAAAACAGAAAGAAATGAATTTATAGTAAAAGAAATTGCAATATTGTATAATAATAAAATACAACGAATTTTAATTAAACCACCATTTCCTTTCTACAAATTGACTGTAAAAGGAAAGAAACATGTTAATTGGATTCAACGTAATAGAAAGATATATTGGTGTGAGTGAGTAACACCTTATTTAAATTATCAGAATTTGATTGCAGATAATATAAAGGATAAATGTATATACGTCAAATGTTTAGAAAAAGTTTTATGGTTAAAATCCATCTTACAAAATGATAATATAATTAATTTAGAAGATAATGGTTGTCCTAATTTCTTAAATCTGTATGATCGATATAAAGATTGTAAAGATTTGTATAGTTGTATTAATCATGACTCGGTATGTGCTTTGAAAAATGTTTTTTGTTTAAATAAATGGTGCTCTGATAATAACATTTGAAATATTCTTAATTTTATTTCATAAAAAAAAACTCTCCACCAGCAACTTTTTTTAAATGTTTATAAGGAATCAGCGCAGCTTTGCAGCTTGATTATACTCTTGCAACCAGCAAGATCAAACCTCCACAAAACATAAGGGACATGTCTCTAAACGAATACAGACCATTATATTCATTTAGCCATTATTGGGCAACGAGTGATTTAACAGAAGCAGTGGTGAATGAAATGGCTGATGCGGGATGCTTTTATTTTGGGGATAACATAAATGATACAGCTGCTTGTTTTTCCTGTGGAGGAGTTATTAGAGATTGGGAGATTTACGATGATCCGTCGATGCAACACACATCACATTATCCTCAATGTTTTTATGTGAACACCGTGAAAGGTTAAGATTATATAAATAAATGTTTGAAAGAGTATGGTAAATCGCTGTGAATTAAAAAGAGTGACACAGAATTGAGAAGACAACTGCTTAGTTAAAAAAAATGAAAAAGTAGAAAATCGCTGTAAGTTAAAGTGATACAGAATTGAGAAGACATCTGATTAGATAAAAAAAATGGAAATGTAGAGCTGTTTAATATAATATTGGGGCGAACTGCATCGCAAACGGATGTGAGTGATGCAGCAGCCCTAATACGAGTATTACCCTACTTACGTAATTTTTTAATGCGCTTGCCCAATTGGATTTACCAATATTTTTGCTCTGTCATCTTAAAAGTTTAGAAGAATGATAACGTTGCTCCAAAAAAAGTTGCTCACTGACTATAATGATTTATTAATTATGTTTTATTTTGCATTGTAAGCGACGCATTATAAAATATTTATTTATTATGTGACTATTTGTTCTCTAATGCTATTTTTATATTATGTATATTGTTTGATTTTTGTGTACCGTCATATTAGGTATATATTATAGGAATTATTAAAGGAATTATAATATATATTCATTATAGGAAGGATACGGAGAAGTGACAACAGCATCCTGAGAACGGTGGCAGATGATCCGCATGCGCCTATTGTGAGGCACTTCGTGCGAACGATGACTCATACAGAGGATGGTTATTCTTCTAGGTGTCGACCGCACGGAGTGCCTCTCAGGTACATGACAAATTAGAATTTAAGTTAATCTAATTTTATTTCTGATTTGATTTGATTTAATTTGAATTAATATGATTTTAGTTTGAATATAATTTAATTAAATTTTTTATAAGTACTAACACTTAGTTTATAAGCGATAATGTAATACTAACCCATGGATCTTTGTTGTCTGAAATTAAATGAATTTGAAAATTTGAAATATTAGAAATAAATTAAGTAAGAAGCGCTCCCGAACAACCGCTGCACCTACAAGTACATTATCGGAGATCATTCCTTCGACGGGCAATTGCGCACATACACTCGTTGCACGCGGCACGGTTCTTCGATTTTACGCCTTTAATTTTACTCGTGAAATCGTGGTTTCATTCTAAAATTTATAAATT